TCTATTCCCAGCAGAAGGAAGGGTCCAGGAATCTGGAGAAGGCTGTGTGTAGATGTCAGATAGGAATCCAGGGACTAATAAAGAGTCCAGAGACGAGACATAATTTTGAAAGGCACTGGGGGTCAGAGGAGCTTAGCCAAAGGAGCTAAGACCCAAGATCTTAAGTCTAAGGTCTTAGGTTCTCTCCTCCCCAGGACCCCATGCTTTTTATTAACACAACTTGTCCTGAGGCGAGGCAGAGGGTCAGGGTTTGGTACGGAGTCCATTGTCAGAATGGGGGAATTAGCCTACGGCTGTTCAGGTGTTTGGCCAGTAGGAGGCAATAACACGTAGATTAAAATGCCCTTTAACTGTCTGGCAGCCACAGTCAGTTTAATGTATCCTATTCAGGCTTGTGGAAATGCCTTTAGCCATTCCCAGATGCAGCCCTGCTGTCCTGCTGGAATGGGTCTCCGGCATGTGTGTGTGTGTGAATGTGTGAGCGTGTTTGTGTGTTGGTGTGCATGTGTGCTTGTGTGTGAGTGTGAATGTGTGTGTGTGTGTGCATGAGTGTGTAAAGGTGCCAGCTAACTAGCCTACTGGCATCCCTTCTCTGGCTAATTTCCAGTCCCCAGGAGGATGTCCCTGTGTGACCTGGGCAATGGCTGCCGAGGGCCAGGCCAGAGGAAGTCTGACAGCACAGGCCCCCACGGTGAGGCCTGCGGCCCTCGGGTCAGCACCGAGACGTGGATCTGCACTTGGTTGTACGTGATCCTACGGGCACCCTGGTCCTTGCCGGCAGTGCCGCGGAGCCTGTGCAGGTGCTCTAGCACCACCTCGCACTCCTCCCAACTCCAGCTTCTAAGAATCAAATCCTCACCCACGCTTCCTTGCTCTCCACTTAGCTGAGACCCTGTCGCCTCACCTCTGTGTCCTGAATCTCAGGACCGGCTTCTGACACACTGACTGCTCCCCTTCCCGGGCTCCCCACCTGGCGGCTCCAAACAGCAGCCACTCGTCCCAAACCTCAGAGAACAAAATACAGGACACCAGCTATGCCCGCAGCTCAGCAGCCCCTGCCAGCCCAAACCCTGGGGCGCCGGACACTCCCAGCTCTGGGTCCCCCCGACCCCCCTGCTGCTCATTGCAGGTGCCCTTCCTCCCTCACCTGCTGCGGGATGAGCCACAGAGGAACCCATCTCTCAGCCAGGGCCCCGCCCGCCCAGCCCTCCCCAGCAACAAAGACCTGGGTATGTGGGCATGGCCCCACGGTGTAGGGGACATCGCTCAGGAGCCCTAGCGCTTTGAGACCTAAGACCAGCCACATGGCTCAAGGGCAGAGCGGCCCCGCCTCCGGGTTCTGACAAGTTGACCTTGACCATCGGCCTGTGTTCGTGCTGTTTCATGGGACGCAGCCACTCAGGAGTGCACCGGTGGTCCTTGGATGTGGACACTCGTCAGGAGTCCTGTGGAGGCCAGCGAGAGCTCACAATAGCAGCTTTCTCCCCATCTCCTCGCCAGCTCCCTGGCCACCCCGCCTTCTTCACCTGCTTTTTAAATGTTCCTAAGGAAAGTCACCACGTCAGCCATCTCCACCGGGACGGCTCAGCGGCATCAGGTCCGTTCACACGGTTGTGCAACCATCACCGCCATCATCTCCAGAACGTCTTCCATCTTGAAAACGGAACCTCTGTCCCCATTGAACACTAGCTCCCCACCCCTCTCCCTGGCCCCGGCCCCCACCCTCTACTCTCGCTCTGTAAATTTGACTCTTCTAAGGACCCCATGTAAGTGGAGCCCTACAGTACTTGTCCCGTTGTGATTGGCTTCTTACACTTCCTTCCTAAGGGAGTCCAGCCCAGCGCACAGACCACATTTTGCTTCTCCGTCCACCTCAGATGCACACTTGCTTTGCTTCCAACCTTTGCTGCCAGTGCTGCTGCTGTGAACATGGGCATAAACACGTCTCATGGCGACTGCTGGCCGCTCTCCTGGGTGTGTACCCAGCAGTAAAACTGCTGGATCATTGGGCAACTCAGTTAACATTTGAGGAACCGCTATCCTGTTTTCCACAGAGGAGGCACCACTTTACACTCGCGCTGAGTGAGGTTTCAACCTCTCCATCCTCTCACCAACGCTCACGGTTGGTTGGTTGGTTTTGGACAGGAGCCATCCTAAAGAGTGTCACTGTGGGTTCGAGTCACACTTCCCTCTTACTTGGGGATGTTGAACATCTTTTATTAGCTTATTGGTCATTGATACATCTTTGAAGGTATGTTTATTCGAGCCTGGCCAGTGTGGCGCAGTGGTTAAGCATCGACCTATGAACCAGGCAGTCACAGTTCAATTCCCAGAGCACGTCTGAGTTGTGGGCTGATCCCCGGTAGGGGGCGCGCTAGAGGCAGCTGGTCAATGATTCTCTCATCGTTGATGATTCTATCCTTTCGCTCCCCCTCTGAAATCAATAAATATACAAAGAAAAGTCTATTCGAGGCCTTTGCCCAGATTTTAATCAGGTTGGGTTTTTTGGTTGTTGAGTCGTAGTTCTTTATATTGTCTCGATATTAGCCCCTTATCATGATTTGCAAATATTTTCTCTTTCTTGGGGTTGCCTTTACACTGTTGATTGGTGTCTTTTTTTGTTGTTTGTTTTTGTTTTATGATACATAAGTTTTAAATTTTGATATGGTTGAGTTTACCTGGTTTTTGTTGTTACTGCTGAAGCTGCAAAGAAACCCTGGAGGAACCAGGTAAGGCTCTGCAAGTCTCCGTGGGCAGGGAAGCTGGCCAGGTGGAAACGGGGGTCAGTCTAGAGCCAGGAGGGAAGGAGGTCAGTCTAGAGCAGGGGCGGGCAAACTTTTTGACTCGAGGGCCATAATGGGTCTTAAACTGGACCGGAGGCCGGAACAAAAGCATGGATGGAGTGTTTGTGTGAACTAATATAAATTCAAAGTAAACATCATTACATAAAAGGGTACGGTCTTTTTTTTTTAGTTTTATTCATTTCAAAAGGGCCAGATCCGGCCTGCAGGCCGTAGTTTGCCCACGGCTGGTCGAGAGCCAGGAGGGAAGGGGTCAGTTTAGAATGAGACGTAACTGGGACGTCAGATTAAGACTTGAAACTTCAGAACTTGGTACTTTGTTCTTTTTGGCACAAGTGTGGCCATCAGAATCGCATTTCAGAGAAGCTGCTCGTGCAACAGCAGGAGCGCAACTAGAAAGGAGTCTGAACACCTCGCTCAGAGGGAAGGAAATGAGCAGTGGCGGGATGGAGGGAGAAGGGGCAGTCAGGGGAGGCGGGAGGCGGGATGGAGGGAGAACACGGGGTGGT